TTCCCACACACCAGAGTTGACACAAAAGAACCAAAGACCGCCGCCTCCTCCACCTCCACCTCCGCCGCCTCACTGCCCCCGTTGCTGCAATGCCGATTTCTACCTCCGCCGCCACTCTCAACTTCACCGTCTCACCGTCGCGGTCCTTGTCTCTCCACCTCCACCCAGATTCCGGCTCCTTATTCTCGCCTCCGTCCGTCTCCTTCACCCCCAAAATCTCTACGGCTGGCTCTCTTGTCCTGACTCCCAACAGCCGATCCCTGTTCCTGGTCTTCTCGACCAATGCCGCTGCCGCCGCCGCCGACAGCGAAATCGATGCCAAATTATCGACCGGCGGCGGAAATGGGGGAATCGGTGGCGGAAATGGCGGCTCTGGCGGAGGCGGAGACCACAACGGCGGAAATGAAGGGAATGACGATGAGAACAAGAAGAGGAACAAGGCCGAAGCTCTGATGGCGTTGGCCGAGGCCGGGAGGAATCTCGAGAGCTTGCCTAAGGATTTGAGAGTTGCCATTGAAGACGGAAGGATACCCGGATCGATTGTTTTGAAGTATTTCGATCTTGAAAAATCTGGGTTTTTGTCCTGGCTTATGAGGTTTGGAGGATTCAAGGAGAGGTTGTTGGCAGATGATCTCTTTTTGGCTAAAGTTGGCTTTGAATGTGGTGTTGGAGTATTCACCAAGGTAAATTGAGCTTGTTTTTGGTGCTTTTCGATTTCTTTATCAGTTATATGTCTAATCCGGATGGCTTTCACTGGCTTTCATTTGATTTTTGGTGAACCCAACACCCTTTTCAATAGCTCTCAGAAAAGATGTAATCTTTTAGATGTTCTTGTTTCCTTATGCATGATGATCATACTATGTATCCACGGATGTTCCGCGTCTTCTGCAAAATGATTAATTTTTGACATAGTGATTCAGTTTTCGGGGTCAAAATGGGGGTCTAGAGGGAGATGAGAATGGATGATGTGGTGAAGTTATTGTTTTCTGCTAGGGTATGCTTCAAAAGTTGTATCTTGGTACCAATCCTGACTAATCTGTATTTTGAATACTGAAAAGTGATGGAATTATCATTCGTTTAACACTTCGCATCATACAAATGTTAATGAAATGTGGAGAAAACGATCCTTTTTTTTTTTTTTTTTTTTTTTTTTTATAGAATCATAATCTTTATATATTTGTTCCCACAGACTGCCGCAGAATATCAGCGTCGCAAGGAAAACTTTTTCAATGAGCTGGAAATTGTATTTGCTGATGTGGTATGGTGGTTTCTTGTCACTCGATAGTTATTATTTTTCTGCTTAGTATAAATTTGCAGATAAATTTGGAGTTATCTCCCCTGTCAATCATGATGGGACTACCACTAGCTTCGCGATATGTTAGAAATGCAAAGGGCATTGCTTTTGTGAAGCTGTTAACTAGACACTATTTGGCCGTAGTACAAAATTTAATGATTGCTTTTTGGAAAGGCTATTTCAGTTAACTCATAAATTATATGTCATCCATAGTCCTAATGAGTTATGTTAACCTCAGAAATTGATCTCCAATTGTGTAGTTTCTGTTTTCCCTCATGGTTTGCAAACGTCATATGAGACAGAATAATAACCTCCACCATATAATTGTACGATAGATATTGAAGGTAATTCAGTATCCGTATAATCGTGTTTCATATACATTTAGGTCAATATATTGCTGCGATGGAGATGATTCAGAAATGGTATGATTTTTGGCATACATGTCATCTTGCAAGTTTTCTTAACATAAAGCGGCATATTGTTGCTACTTATAACATCACATATTGCTACTCTTCCAAAACTATGGATATGTTGAACCTAAAAGTGCGCACATTTGTGTTTACAAAAAGCTCCAAAGTGGATGTGAATTTTTTTTTTTCCTTAACCTTTGAAATGGTTGATTCTACCAACAAGATTTTTCTTCTCTTTCAACTATTTTTCCTACTCATGGGAACCTGCCTCTGCTTTCCACTAGTGTTCGTAATGATTCTTATTTCCATAGAACAATATTTAGCAGATGCACTCCAGCCGTGCTATCCACTTTCATTAAAATCTACCAGGAATAAAAATGATATAACTTTTAGTTAATAATAACTAGTAATAGTTGGTGATAGTAAAGCAACTGGGGCATGCCAATATCTCCCAAAGATGCTTCTGATTCTCTATTCGGCAACTTACTCTCCGGAGGATTAATGACCATATGAACTTAATTATACCTCTTTCATGTCTCTTATTTATTTTAGCTTGTCTTGTGCTCAGGTGATGGCCATAATAGCAGATTTTATGCTCGTTTACCTTCCAGCCCCCACGGTTGCTCTCCGTCCCCCTCTTGCGCTCAACGCCGGTCGCTTTGCTAAGTTCTTCTACAGTTGTCCAGATAACGCATTTCAGGTAACTTCGGAATATGTCTACTGCTTTTTGTTGGCCAAATATGAATTAAATTGCGAAGTACTTATGGCATCTCGTATGCAGATTGCATTGCCTGGAACTTCATTTTCGTTGTTGCAGAGGATAGGTGCTATAGTGGTATGAAGATCACTCTCGTTTCTTTGGAGTGAATTTTGATATAGTTCATAGATTTATCTCAATTTTCCACAACCGTTTTATTTATTTATTTATCTTGTTTGCAGCGTAATGGTGCAAAGCTGTTTGCTGTTGGCTCTACTTCTTCTTTGGTAATTTCAAATCATCGGGGTTTTTACTATATATGAGAATGAAATGATCATTCTCTTACTCATTTCTCATTTCTAATCCCTGGTATATTTTTTAGAAAGGAATGATTATTCCACTATGGGAATTGCACAACCCATCTTAATGGGATAGCCATTTCAGAGCTAATGCATGGTTTTCTCGTTCCCATATCTTTGGGATTTATTTTTGCAAAACATAAAACTAAAAAATAATGATAAAAGTTAATATATAATATATAAGAAAATAGTAATAAATAAAATGTAATAATAATAAAAATAAAGGTAAAACTTGTAAAAATTCTACTTATCGATGTAAGCGAGCTGATTTGTTAAACGCTTGTTAATTTTTTTGTTCTTGTTGATTATATATGTAAATTTTAGGTGACAGACAATATTTTTCTACTTTTATCCATCATTATAGTCAAGTTAATTAAAAATATAAGAAAATCATGATATGCTTATATACATTGAAAATTATTTATTTTTTTATTACCATTACTCATCTATCTATCTATTAATCTGTATTACAATAAAGCAATTTTTTTTTTTAAAAAATGTATGGAATATTTGTTTTCATATTTGAGTATAATATTAATGAGAATTGTAATTATATATAATATAATTTCAAGATGTACAACTATAATTGGAAATAGTAAGACATATGACCCAAAAAGTTTTATACTTAATTTTATGCATTTTTATGACAAATCTAAAAGTTATATATCCCCTCCCCCTATATATTAATCCAGAACGCGCTGAGCCTACGTGGCTGTTTCTGGTGCTTCGGAATCCTATGTGGCAAAATTACATGCTTCGTTATTAGGCTTGGATAAATTTTAATTTAATTCCAAACTAAAAATAATTAGGTTCTGATTACCATAAATATGTTCATTATTTATGGTCATGTTACATTTATTAATTGCATTTTAATATCATTTCTTATTATAACTATTGAATTGTATATATATTTTAAAATTTAATAATTTTTGTATTTTTTATCAGTTTTACATATGCAATATATCAAATTAATCTTCTTTTGATGAACTTCGATTTAAGATCCATATTGTATGTATAAAAGATAATTTATATTTATCTTTATAACAATAATAAAATTATTTTTAATATTAATCAGAAAAATAAAATTATTTATCAACTAATATAATTATATTTCAAGTAGTTATATGATTTAAGTTATAAAAATTAATATAATGTCACACATGTAAGTCATAAGTAACACATATCATTCTAAAATATATAGTAATATATTTTTTTTTGTAAAAAAGTATACTAATGTAATATAGTTTTCTCATTAATTTTAAAATTTAAGAATAATTTTTTAACAAGCACCCGTGTAATACACGAGTGTTGTACTAGTATGTATATACATATGAAAGAACAATATGAAGTAAGATAAAATTAAATATAATAAATAATAACAACAATATAATTAAGTTAACACTTACTAATAAATATGAAAAAAAGTAATAACTAAAATTTTATAATTAGTAAAATAAAATAAAAATTATAAAACTAATACTTATGGAGGTAAATGAGTTGAATTGTTAAACGTTTGTTAATTTTTTGTGCTTACTAATTCTAGGTGTAAGTTTTAGGTTATTGACATTTTTACTTTTATCCATGTAGGTTAGAGCTTTTAAAAAAAAAAACGATTATTGAAATTTTAATTAACTTTTTATTTGTTATTAACTTTTTGAATATAAGTATTATATTGCATATATAAAATAATACTTATTTTTATTAATATGTAGGAAAAGTAACTCGATTGAGAAGTTAATAGGTGATACTTATTTTTATTAATATTTAGGAAAAGGAATTCAATTGAGAAATTAATAGGCAATCTTGACATAAAATAACGAGTGATCTGTAAGAAAAAAATATATCGACTAAAAAGTACACATGTTTAATATTTTTTATAGAAAAATTTTAAATACAATTAATATACAACAAAAGTTACAACATAAAAATTCTAATGTTTAAGAAAGAATTCAAAGTTCCATATTATAATAAAAAATTCAACAGTAAGGTTTTCCAACGGATATTTCATTGATATAACTTGTATTGAAAAATATCTTTGATTATTCCAACAGAGATCAAATTAAATTACATTGATTTTTTTTTTTTGATTTAGTATTTTAATGCGTGAATTTCTAACAAGTTGCGTTATTCAACACTTGTTAATTTTTTATTCTTATTAATTATAGGTGTAAGTTTTAGGTGACACACAATAGTAATTTGTACTTTTATTCATCATAATAGTCAAGTTGATAAAAAATGTATAGAAAATCACGACATGTGTATATACGTTGAAAATTAATTATTTCTTACCAAGAAATTATGTCGATATATTACGAGTACTCATCTATCTATTAATCTGTATTATAATAAAGCATTTTATTATTAAAAAAATTATTGAATAATTTTTTTTTTTTTTTTATATTTGAGTATAACATTAAAGAGAATTGTAATTATATATAATATATCAAGATGTACAATATGTACAACTATAATTGGAAATAATAAAACATATGACCCAAACAATTACATACTTAATTTTATGCATTTTTATGACAAATCTAAAAGTTATATATATGTATATACATATGAAAGAAGTCAACAGTATAAAGTAAGATAAAATTAAATTTGATAAATAATAATAACAATATATTTAAGTTGTAACACTTACTAATAAATCTTAAAAGAAAGTAATAACTAAAATTTTATAATTAATAAAAACAAATATAAAATTTTTAAAACTTTTACTTATTGAGGTTAACGAGTTGAACTGTTAAACGCTTGTTAATTTTTTGTGCTTATTAATTCTAGGTGTACATTTAAGGTTATTAGTTATTTGTACTTTTATACATGTAGGTTAGAGATTTTTTTTTAAAAAAAAAATGATTATTGAAATTTTAAATAAATTTTTATTTGTTATTAACGTTTTGAATATAAATATTATATTGCATATATAAAATAATACATATTTTTATTAATATGTAGGAAAAGTAACTCGATTGAGAAGTTAATATGTGATACTTACTTTTATTAGTATTTAGGAAAATTAACTCAATTGAGAAATTAATAGGCAATCTTGACATAATAATTTGTAAGAAATATATCGACTAAAAAGTACACGTGTTTAATATTTTTTATAGAAAAATTTTAGATACAATTAATAAACAACAAAAATTATAACATAAAAAGTTTAGAGCTTGATTGTTTATGAAATAATTTGTTCAAAATGAGTTATTTTGGTTAACCATGGTAAATTTTGAAAAAGGTGGTATGGTTAGTTGTTAGTGGAATTTTAAGAATGTATTAAAATAATATTTAAAATAAAATGATTTAAATTGATTTGATGTAAAACTAAGAGATAAATGATTGGAAATGATTGGAAATGATAGATAGTTAAAATTAGAGTGGATAAATAGTGAATTAAAGTTGATGTGATGTGTAAGAATGATTGGTTTCTATTATTTAATTATATGAATAATATTAAAGATAGTGGAGTTGAGTTAAAATTGAGTTAAATTTTGAGTTGAAATAAAAGTGAGTAAATTAACTCATAAACAATCAAGCCCTTAATGTTTAAGAAAGAATTCAAAATTCCATATTATAATGAAAAATTCAACTGTAAGGTATTCCAACGGATATTTGATTGATATAACTTCCATTGGAAAATATCTTTGGTTATTCCAACAGAGATCAAATTAAATTACATTGAATTTTTTGGATTTAGTATTTTAATTACCTCTATTTATTGTTGCGTAAATTGCTAACAAGTTGTGTCATTAAACGCTTGTTAATTTTTTATTATTATTAATTATAGGTGTAAGTTTTAAGTGACAGACAATAGTAATTTGTACTTTTATTCATCATAATAGTCAAGTTAATTAAAAATGTATAGAAAATTATGACATGCCTATGTACGTTGAAAATTAATTATTTTTTACCAAGAAATTATGTCGATATACTACAAGTACTCATCTATCTATTAATTTGTATTATAATAAATCATTTTTTACTTAAAAAATTATGGAATAATTTTTTTTTTTTTTTTTT